CTAACTGCAACTAAGTACAACTTGCTTGTAAAAGGGTCCTCTGGAACTAAGTTATTCCCCATCCACAGTAGTGAGAACATGGGAAGTATCGTTCAAAGAGAGTCTGCCAGAGAAATTACCAATTAACGAGAGGAAGTAACGCTGCTCTACATGGATACTGATCGCTGGTTAGATTAAAATTTATTTATTTCAAATAGCAGGCGTTTTGATAGCTATCATTAGCCATTTAGCTGACTTCGGGCTTCACAGAGGGAAGGTTCAACAAAATAGCAGAAAGTCGAGGGGTGGGGAACAGAAGAGCGATTCACAGATGTAAAAGAGGCAGACAGACACAAAGGTAGAGAAGAAGGTAAGTTGAGTACTGTGTAAGGGGTCTATATGGCAACCAGGGGGGTCGTGGTAGTTTGAAGTCAGAAATAGGACATATAGGGGGGTCATGGTAGTTTGAAGTGAGAAGAAAACTGCCGGTTAATAGACTTTTTTGCCGTATGCGGAGAAGTCAACTACCAGTTAATAGACTTTGCCGTATGAATATACGTTGCCCAGGGTGCACCACGTGGAGGTAAGTCTATTGAAAAACGAATGCCGAGTGATAGAATTTTTGCCGTAAGAAAGTACGTTGCCCAGGGTGCACCACGTGGAGGTAAGTCTATCGTAGTTAACTGCCAGTTAATAGACTTTTTGCCGTATGAATATAACGAAAGCCGAGTGATAGACTTTTTTGCCGTAAGAAAATACGCTGCCCAGGGTGCACCACGTGGAGGTAAGTCTATCGCACACAAACTTCCGGTTAATAGACTTTTTACCGTATGAGTATACGTTTCCCAGGGTGCACCACGTGGAGGTAAGTCTATCGCACACCCACTAGGGTGCACCACGTGGAGGTAAGTCTATCGCACACCCCCGTTAGATTAAAATAACTTATAAGAAATTGCTCTTTGATTAAAGTTGCAGTTAATTATAAATACTGCAGTGGTTTTGCTTTAATATACCTGAAAAGGTTAGATTATCTTAAATATGGTTATAATTGAATCGCTTTCTTTTAATTTTACTAATAATGAAATCGTAAATGAGTATATAATTTCCCTATTTATAAATAAGTTATATATATTATAAGCATTTTTGCAAGCTTTTTATTATTAATAAGTGGGCTATTTGAGCTGGCTAATTAGTTGCATATTCTGTGTTGCTTTTTCAGGGACCTCCCATCGACGTGGTATAACCCATGAAGATGTAATCGAGCTCTATGATTCAGGAGCTCGGACAATCGTCCTCAGTATGGGCAATATGTCCTGGCTCCACGTTCCTCACACGGTTCTCGATGATCTTGAACGCGATGGTTACAATGTCATTGTAAAGTCAACTCCCGTCGCAGTGAGAATTTACAACAAACTCGCTGAGAATGGACATCCAGTAGCCGGCCTCTTCCACACAAAATGCTAAAATTATCCAGCACTAATGAAATTATCATAGAACACAACTAGTGTCTCATTATTCAGCACCTTTTTTATTATAATTGGGAAATCGTATGACTCCATTGGCATTACCCATACCTCAACACTATGTCCTTTGAGAGGTTTGAAGAATCTTTTCAACTCAACTCAACTGTACGAAAAAACCTCCTCAATTGTAAAGCTAATAGGCACAATCACAATTATTCCATACATTAGGAAATGTTGTCCAACTCAATTTGAGTGCTATCTTACTACATTTTTGAGCAACAGAAGTCTTATTAGTTTAGACATAAATTTTTCCTCTAAATAATGAGAATTAACTATCCTTGCATCGGTTGATTCATGCAATGCTAATGAAGAATTAAAGGTCACTCTTCTGAATGCTTGGAAGTATAAAAAAATGGAGAAATCTAAACACCCCAATGGTATGCTTAAAGGCGGCTTTAAGGGCTTT